GTTAACATTAACTGGCTTTTTGACCTAAAATATTAACTTTCATCTTAATCTCTCTGAATATTTACTTTGGCAAAGATCAAGCCACTCCTACATCATTATCTGAGCAGCTTTAAGGTTTGAGTTAAATATACTGACCTGAGGTATTATCAAGAGAGGGGAGAAAAGACGAACTGAAGGAAAAATCTCAAAAGCAACAAGATAAATGTTATACTTGTTTTATTTTAAACTAAATTGTTAGGCGCTGAATGCTGAAACACCTCTTCTTCCTCTGAAGTCCTTTGTTTTTAAAAGCAAGATATAATTTCACAAGGACCATAACTGATATGTCCACACATTACTTCCACTGGTCATCATGGCAAATCCTCTGCTATAGCAAAACTAGTACACAATTTATACAATATTCAAAGTGCCCCTTTTTGATAGACATCAGCTGTTTTCAATTTTTCCATTTAAAAGTCTGTCAATGTCTGACAGACTTTTTTAAAAAGATTGTTTAATATTCACCTGAACAGGCAGACAGGTCTCAGTTTAACCTCAGACAAGGCAACACTACTGCATTGTTGAGTGTCTTCCTATCCAACAAGCTCAAGTCTAGACATGGGGCTTCTGATCCAAAGGCATAAGAGTACTACCAATTGAGTCAAGGTGACACACAAAAAGAATAAAAGAAACATGGTTTGTGCCCCTAGTTGCTAGGAGTGGTCCCCTGCTGGAAAAACAATGTTTGTGGATATCAAGTGAAGACATTCTTAGCCTTGGCAAGGATTTCCTTCTCTCTCTCCTCCAAATAAAATATCCGGCTCAAATTCACCATTCAGGCTCACGTGAAAAATGTCCATTTAGTCCCTGAGTGTTTCAAAAAAGAGGCGACAGGGGACAAAACATCCAGTCTTGCCAAAGGCAACTACTAAAAACATACATTTTGTTGGGTTAGTTGGATATGCCTTACTGACCAAAGACTTCACGGAGATCACCATAGCGGTTAGGATGAAGAAGGCCATTCAACCTATTTGGTCTCATCCTTCCACAATACTCACCCTACAATCTTCCCATTACAGCATCTAGCTGTGATTTTTAAAAAAATTAATCCAGCATCTTGGCCTCAACAACTTCCTGATAACCCATTCCAATTGTTAATTTCCTGACATCTGTCCTGAAATTGCCCAACTTGAAAACTGTGACCTCTTGTTCTGCTTTCTTGACCAATTTGAAAATATTCTTCTGCATTTACTTTCTCAATCCCATTTAAAACCTTATATAACTCTATAAGGTCACTTCTGAGACATCGCTTTCAAAGTCTTAAATTGTCTAATCACTAGACATAGCTCATTCCTCTAACACTGGAGATCATACTTTTTGCTCTCTCCACTGCCTTTGGGGCTTTACACAGAACTCCAGGTTTAGACTGAACACAATATTTGAGGATCCAAACTCACTTGAGTTGGCAATATAGCAGAGCATCTTATTTATCCTGTTTATTTCTGCCTCACACGGTTTTGACCTGGTGAGTGCTGTCAACTAATACGCCTTGGCATCTCAACTTGCCCTTGACAAGTTCTATCCCATCCGTGGAGCAAATGTGCCTATTATTTTTAATTCCTATATGCCGTACCTTGCATTATCTCAATTGAAATAGTCTCCCTCAGCCAAGGTACCTGTAGGATGTTACGAATCGCTCACCAGAGGGAAAAAAAGCAATGACATATTCACTTGGTATTCAAAAGAAACAGTGTTTCAGAGTTGTCACTTTGAATTACTATCAAAACTTTCCTTGAAGCAAGCATGTGGTTGTCAAAAGGATATCCGGTGAGGAAAACAGCAACACCACACACATAGAACAGAATGGAACAACCTGGCAACACTGCTCTCTATGCACATGAAGAATGGCCACTTGGTATCAAGATACCTGCTGACACCAGTGAAACCATACCCTAGTCCCAAGTCAAAATCCGTCAAAAAGAGGTAGAGAATAGCATTTAGTAATCAAGCTAAGAATAGCCCCTTCTCAAGGTATCCTTTTTTGATACTGTTAAGCACAAATTCAGTTATATCTGCTCTATACCTCCTGCCACTGCTATACGTCTTCTCTGTATCCTCTCCCCCATCTATGATCAGTAGAACCATTATTCAGTTATACAGAATTTGAATTGCTGTTGAAGCTCCTCATCGGTATTATTTTTGAGACTCCATGTCCCAGATGAATAAACACACAATGCAAACAATACTAACACAACTTCCTCCTTATGTGGGTTAGGTAGGTGACAAAAAAACTATGGAGGAATTACCACTCAGATCCCTATCTGGCTATCTATGCATCATATAACTGCGCATAATGCCAGAAGAGAACAAATTAACCTTCGTAATAACAGTTTACAGTCTGCGGACAAATACACACAGAGATTAGTTACTTAGTCAAGGTACAGAGGGCCATGATATCAACGTTCAAAGGACTTTCAGAAGGGCAAGTTAAAACTAAGGATAATATTTTACTCTTAATAGCAGATACAAGGCTGCTTTGTTACAAGATCAAGTTATAATTATGCATTACAATAAAGTCATGGAGATCAATGTAATTATTGGTGATTTATCTTGTTGGGTTTGAATTCATTTAACTTGAGCTGGAACCAGGGAAATAGTTGACACTTTCAAAAATCAGATCCAACTCAGCTCCAAGTTAGATGAGGATACAATCAACTTCAGAGATCATGTCCTCCCACACACAGCGTATCCCAAGTGACTATTTGGGCAAACTACTGGAGAGCTGATACCACCCACGGAATTAAACCTCAACATTCACCTTCAAAAAATAGGGCAAAAGAGAACAGGGGACTGAGGAGAGAAATAAAACTATTGTACCAGAACCATATAGTGGAAATACTAGCTTCTGCATTAAAACACACAACAAAGGCCGGTTTAATAAATAATACTCCTCCTTTTGAATCACGTTTGCTCTTTCAGCACCGGCATATACCAGTTGGGCCAAATGGCCTGTTTCTGTGCTGTATATTCTAATGTAAATCAGGTGATTAAATGAAATAAATTTAGAATTACAATCAGGAATTCTAAATTGTTCAAAATTGAGAAAATAAGACGAGGTAAAGGGACTTCAGCAAACACACATTAGATTTGAAACTGGAGTATTCAGCAGCTCATGTATTTAACTTTGAAGGCCTATCCACTTTATGTATTACACTGTTCCAGAAAGAGCATCATACAACTATTAAGAACACTTTCCACCAAAATGAATTGACTAAATGATTGGTATTGTACACGTTTTATTATTATTATTGTTTTTACATTTTGACAACTCCATGCCAATAATTACATTTTCAATGTAGATAAAGGAACTGGTTTGAATTATCTTTGCAGTGAGCAGTAACCCCCACTGAAACCTCGTTTTTTTTAAAAAAAGCTGTACTAATAAACCAGTGACTTTAAAAGTAGTTCTGAAATGCAAGACTTGATTTTAAAATTACTCCTCACACTACTGCAAAGTGATGTGACACCCTGCCAAGATTTGAGTAGCAGTGGAATCCTAATATTGCGATCCTACCATCAATAATAAGGATACATTTTTTTAAGACCACCCAGTATCAGAAATGTTTCCAGCCCTGAAACAACTATTCTTATGTTGCAAAAGATTCAATGCATGGCTGCAAAGCATAACTCTTTTTTTTCAATTGATTCTCTCTTCCCACCTAACTTAAGTTTCTCTGATAGCAATGGCATAGAGTGAGACACAACTGAATCACAGATGCCTCGAAACCTCAGGGATTGACTTTCAAAACTTTTCTTTAATATATATATTTATCTGGACAATGAGGGAATGAGCGTAGAGTGATGCTCACTAAACAAACCCAATGCAGAATAGCAGTGAATCATAGAGGCCAATTTCCAGCCTGTGCTGAGTTAGCTGATCTCAGGAATGATGGTATTGGTTGGGTAGACTAACTAGTTTGAGCCCTTGGAAAGCCAAACATGTGCAAGGGCTTCTGCTCCAGGTGCTTCCTGGAATGTGAGGTGAAGACAATATCAGGCTCAGCTTTGAGTCACCCCCTCACCTCATGGCTCAATAGTTTGCCAACACTCAATTATCCAGGCTCACACATGAACAGTCACTTGAATGAAGTGCCAGAGCCATGCTGACACCCATCCGCACAAGCAGTCAATATCCCAGCATAAATTAGCACCTTTCAGACGCGCTGGAGAGAAAGATGATTCCGGTAAACATTTCAACAGCAATTTCTCACAAATCATAAGAGTGGCGGTTACTAATCATTCAACAGAAGTTATCCACTTAACAAAGGAAAGACCACCAGCCGCACGGCTACGTTGCTCTACGATGAACTGCTTCGGAAGCCAGTCCAATAACACAACATGGCAGGTAGGAAGGAAGGAAGGAAGGAAGGAAGTCCACACAGCACCCAACCACCACAACAACAACAACAACAAATTACACTTGTGTAGCGCCCTTCACGTCAGAAAGACGTCCCGGGGCGTTGGACAATCAGGGGTTTTGCTCAAAAGAAGAGTGGGGGGGGGGTGTTGGTTAATAAGCGAGAGAAAGAAATCGCAACGTTAATCGAATGAAACTCAGTTTGAAACGCAAGGGATTAAACACCTCGCCTGGTCCCCACACGGGACTGGCGGCGGCGGCGGGGGAAAAGCATATTAAAAATAGTTACTGAGATGAGATCCCTCTTGAGTACCCCATCCGTCACACAATTGCCGTCTCCCCCCCCCGCCCCCGGGGAGAGAAAGCGAGGGCAACATGCGACACCCGTGGCTCATAATCCCACCGCGAAGGAAGGCCTTCCGCATCTGCCCATGTTTCAAAGCGGCTCCTGGCAATCCACCAGATCCCTCCCCCCACCTCACCTCACCTCACCCGGGTCTGCAGCTCAATCCCCCCAACCCCCCACCGCGGCCCCACCACCACCACCGGGGGCCTCTTCCCCCCTCTCACTCGCTCCCTTCCCCTCCCCCCCCCCTTCCAGTACCTTCTTCTTCTCCATGTTCCGCACTTTCTTGTCGATGACATTGAGGACCTGCCGGAGGGCCTCGTTCTGCGGGTGCCCGGGCTGGAGACTCGGGGCGGCGGGGAGGGCGGCGGCGGCGGCGGCGGCTGAGGCCGTGGCCGCGGCTTCGGGCCCGGCGGCGGAGGAGGAGCGCGATTCTGCCGCTTTAGTGGCGGTGGCTGCGGGCATTTTGGATGGTGTTGTTTTTTTTTTTCTCTTTTCTCTCTCCCTCTCGACTCGCGTCTGTTTCGAAGTGGTTTTAGTTTTTTTTTTTGGATTTTTTTTTAAAAATATATATACATATGATATATATATATATATAGAGGGGGAGGGGAAGGGGAGAGAGAGAGAGCTTTTGTGCCGGTGTGTGTGTGTGAGAGAGAGAGAGAGACAGACGCAGGGAGAAGCGGGTCGCGCGCGGCTGCTCTCCGCCACAACCCACTGAGAGACTGAGGGGCGAGCGCGCGCGAGCAACGGGCGCCCCCCCCCGGATGGACCCCGCGACGGGCACCTGCGCCCGATCCTCACGAACAACCACTCGCCCAACTCACCCGACCGCGGGGGTGGGTGGGTGGGGGGGGGGGTATGAGAGAGGAGGTGATGGTGATGGTGGTGGGGGTGGCCCGAAAAAAAAAATTCAGGGGAGGGAGGAAAATATATATATATTGTTTTTTAAAAAAATTGGCTCTTCCGTATAATTTAGTCGTCCAGATCGATCCGTAAAGGGGGCGTGTGGGGGGGGGGTGGCGGGGGGTGTTTTTTTTTGCTTTGCGGCGAGGTCTTTCAGGCGCGTGCCGTGGACGCCGCTTCCTGTCGTCTCGCTCCCAGCCAGGGCGGTGCCAGGGGCAACCAACGCCGGTCTCGTCACCCCCCCCCCACACACTCTGCTCTCTCCCCCCCGCCCTTCCCGTCTCCCCTCGTCCTTCCCCTCCCCCGCCCCGCAGATTAAAGTAACGTTGCCGTTCGTGCGGATTCGAAACGAGCTTCACGTCACCGGGAGACGGTTTTCCCGCTCTCGTGTTTCTGAGGCCGAGAAAGTAAGTGCGTCAAGAGTCGGGAGGTTCGGTCGCGGCCGCCGGGGGGCGCTCTCGCGCACAGGTCGCCCGAGATCGAGCGAGGCCTGGACCTCGACCTGCTTCCCCCCCTTCCCCACCCCTCACCCCCTCAAGTATTTCATTGCATCGCAAAATAATATATATATATATATATATACACACACATAGATATTTATATTAAAAAGATATCAACTTTACTAATGTTTAAAACTCAACGGTAAAGAGCGCTCCGGCCTCTCGCGTTTTATCGCGCACGCGCGAGACGCCACCTCGCGGGCGCTCCAGCGGTTGCAGACACTTTAACACACACAACAACAACAACAAGATTGCATTTATAGAGCGCCTTTCACGTCGGGAGGACGTCCCGAGGCGCTGGACAGTTGGGTTCGGGACCCGAGCACTGGGGGGGGGGAGGGGGCGAAGAGGGGGGTAGAGGGTCGAGAGGAGAGCTGAAGGCACAGTCCGGAGAAAGGTCTTGAGACCGGCCTTGAAAGAGGAAAGGGAGGAGACACACACACACACACTAACTAACACACTAACGCACACACACACTAACGCACACACACACTAACGCACACACACACTAACTAACGCGCACACTAACACACACACTAACTAACGCACACACACACACTAATTAACGCACACACACTAACGCACACACACACACTAACACACTAACACACACACACTAACGCACACACACTAACTAACGCACACACATACTAACTAACACACACACTAACTAACGCACACACTAACTAACGCACACACACACACTAACGCACACACACTAACTAACGCACACACACACACTAATTAACACACACACACACACTAACGCACACACACTAACTAACACACACACACTAACGCACACACACTAACTAACGCACACACACACTAACTAACGCACACACACACACTAACACACACACTAACTAACGCACACACACACACTAACGCACACACACTAACACACACACACTAACGCACACACACTAACTAACGCACACACACACTAACTAACGCACACACACTAACTAATGCACACACACACTAACACACACACACACACTAACTAACGCACACACACACTAACGCACTGATGGTTGGGAGGTGGGCCACAAAGCACAGGGTGGGAAGCCTGCAACCTCATGGTTGATTTCACAACAAAAAGACAAAAAGGACCCACAAACCTTAAGGGAGAAGGGGGGGATATGTGTGTGTGTGTCTGTTTGTGAGTGTCTCTGTGCCTCTCTCTCTATGTGTTTATCTCATATATGTATATGTCTCATATATATATAATATATTGATATATATATATGTGTGTGTGTGTGAATGTGTATGTATGTCTCTTTGTCCATGAATTTGCGTGTCTCTCTCAGAGAATGTGTCTGTGAGTGTCTCTGGGTCTTTGTGTCTGTGTGTGTGTCTCTCTGTGTATGTGTGTCTCTCGCTGGGTCTATGTGTCTGTCTGTGTGTCTCTCTGTGTCTGTGAGAGGCAGGAGGTGTTGAGCTCCTGTAGCCCCACAGACAGGACACTGGTACTGAGTGTCTGTTTTTTTTGGTGGATCTCCAGACCTTACAGGCCTGTGCTGGTGCACTGGGCCACCCAGTTTCTATTGAAGAATAAATTAATAAATATGTTTCGCAACAATCCAATGTGCGTTATTTCCTCATGTTTAGTTTTTATCAATAAAGTGAAAAGGTGTAGATTGGCAGTAAAATGCTACCTCAACAGCACCAACCAAACACCCTGCAATTTTCCAAAACAATTGTCGAATCCCCCAGCAATTTCCATAACATTTTTCAAATTTCCCCCGCAATTTGGGGCAAATATTTCCGCACATTTCTGTTGGCCCAGGATATCACAGCTATTAGAATATGATTCTGCTGGGATTAAAAAGACTTAAAACCTGCAACCAAAATCACATTGAAGCAAATGTCTTGGTTGCTGTGATACTGGACGATTCTTGCCTTTATTATTTCAATTAAGGAAGCAATGGCCCGATTCACATTTTCAGTAAAGTGACTATTGTAAATAGATGCTAATGCAAAGCAGAGCAAAACATGATCACAATCCCTACCAAAGTGTTCACACCAGCAATTTCTGATGTCAGCAAATGTGCATACAACAACAGGGCGCAAAGAAATGTGCTGATCACTTTGACAACATTTGTACCACTGATGATACTGGTATTGTTGATGTGTTAACATGTTCTAGAATTCGGAGCCAGAGATACCTGAATTAGACAGGTTCAGGGTAAGATACTGCTTTTAGAATACAGTATAAATGATGATACACTTGAGGCTTTCCTTGTCTCTGTCTCAGCTCCACACGTGCCTTTACCAGTCGACCCATCGAAAAGTTACTTTTCTCCTTTTCATTAACTAATGGTAAAACAGGTGGTGAGTTTTTAATCAGAGGAGTGTATTGCATTCTTGGATAATTAGTCTGTTCAGTTCATTTTTTTAAAAAAAAAACAAACCTTTGCCCTAGCAGTCCAGTAGAAAGGGAGCAGAGAATTGTCACCGTTTTGAAATACTTTTTGCATAACTGAAAGACAAAACCATTAATTGACTTTCCATCTTGGGTAGCTACAATGGTAAGATTTTTAGACATTTTCTAAATGTTAGACATGTTAGCTAGACATTTTCTAGACAATGTTATCCGGACATTTTCTCCCTTTTCCTGAAAATGATTCATGCTGGGGTAAAATTGCACAATGACAAGCAACCTTCTGGCACCTCATCCAAGTGGCAATTCTTCAGTTGCTCAGCTTGGATCCTGAGTGTCAAGATAGTATTTGCTGGTGGGGGAAGGTGGGGAGGGGGAGGAAAGAAATACAACCAAGCCTGATCTTGTCCTCACTTGCCAGCTGCACCCGCACTTTCCTGCAGGGTCACCGGATGGCAGTCAAAACCCAATATTGGGGTAGTTGTGTTTCTTCACCCCCTCTTTCTGTAGCCCAGAGGCACTGAAGCCAATTGTGAGCGTCTCACCACCACTACTGCTGAGAACAGATAACTCAGCAGGAACCAAAGCAGATATTTTGTACAACTGTGTGACTCAATGCCACACTCTTCCAGGTGGTGCTGTTACTACTCAATCAGCAAATAATCAGATGTAACGATTTATAAAATCAGTTAAATGTTTTGTAAAAACTGATCATGATTTAGGCAGTGGAATATGGTCTAGCTGTACCAATGTACCGCCTTCTAGCATGCTATGACATGCACTTATGTGTTTGCTTTAGCAAAGGGTGAGTCTTAAATTGTAACCAGATCAATGGGGGAAGAAAAATAAGAGGACAAGTAAATTTGGGCTGATCAGGCACACCTCCTAATGGCCAGTTACAGAAGAACATTAAGAGAAACTTTAATAGATCACAATAATCCATCAGGCCAGAAAGTTGTGCATTCCTGAGTAGATCTAAATGATTTGTACAGTAGGGGTAAAGGGAAAAGTCAGTACATTAGGGAGAGGTGAGAGCATGCAAAATGAACATTTATAAATTGTTTTTGAGTGAGTTTGTTAAAATCTCTCCCAATTAAAATTTACCTTTATAGCTTCATCCCAACAGCAATCGTAGCTTTGAATGAAACTATATTCCTTCATTTTGCAAGTTACTGGGATGAACAAAATTAAATCTGCACATTCACATTTCAGTCTAGATCATTCATTAGCACTTCTTTACCTCTTTATTTTACTGCATAAGTAATAATACAAAAAAAATCCGTATGGAGAACATTTTTGCAAGATGAATGATTCAGAACAGAACACTTGCCTTAGCTAAAGACTCAAGATCCAGCTGTGGAATAAAAACTACTGTTATCCTGAAATCCTCAGAGGATTTATTGTTCAACTGCCCTTTCTGCTTCACTGTTCACTGTGGCCTGGGTCCAATTCCTGTATGCCTTGATGAAGTAACAGCCAATTGACATGAAATGATTGACCATTTTACAGAAAATGATGCTTTACACTGCATTCAACCGTGGAGTATTTGAGGTTGACACTGATTCAAAAAGTGGTACATGGTACATATGTACAAATATGTTTCTTCCCTCATCAAAAACATGAATATGACCTCATTTTGAAAACCCCAAAATACATAAAGAAATATTTTACCAATGAATGTATTAAATAATACTTTTCTTCATTGACGTAAATACGTACACATCTTACACATCGCCAATTGGAAATGCTGAGGAGAATGGTCTTCATCTTGTATTTTGAAGAATGTTTGATCAAA